CGCCCAAACGTCTCAAATCTTTAAAACCCTAGGCGCCGCCTCCGCCGTGCACGGCGCCGCCGCCTCCAAACCTTACCAAATTAATACCCTAGAGTCTCCTCACCCTCTTCTTTCCAAATCCACGACCTATAACCTTCAAACCCTCCCAGAATACCTCGAATTTTAAATTGAAGTTGGCCTGGAACCCTAATTTTTAAAGGTTGGGGGGATACTGATTTATGGACTATAATAGTCTCTAATCAGGTGTTTTCTCACGAAAACACATGATTAAGGATGGTTGTAGGCCGATTAAGTCCAAGAAATCTTGCCAGTGGTCGAGTCCAAGTCGAGATTTCGAGGTATTTTTTTTCCTCATCTTCTTTTCTGTTATTCTTTTCATCCCTGATTGTTATTTTTCATTTCTTATTTTTTGTGTTAGGGTTTTATTTAGGGTTCTGTTTTGTTTGTTTGATTTTGATTCTAGGATTGTTGCTGTTTATACGTGATTTTAGTTTTACTTTGTTTATTGTGCTATTGTGATTCAATTTGAATTGTTAGTTTACTGTTTTAATTAGAGCTGTTTTAATTGCTACAATTAGCCATAGGATATATATTAATTAGATTTAATTCAAGTTCAAAATAGGTTATGGGATTGTTAGTTCAGTTTTAGAGGATTTTGTTATAATTGAAATTGTTTCAACTCCCTAGTTAATTAGCTATGGTTATTCGACCAGGATAAAAGGGGCTGGTTGTAGTTTTAACTAGGTTAGTAATTCAGAGTTGAAGTAGGGGCAATATGGGTATTTCAATAAAAGGAATCTTGCAAGTAACTGAATTAGAAACCCCTAGAACATTCTAGATGGGGTTCCAATTAAAATTTCAGGAACTTAAGAATAGTGATTTGAGCAACAAGCTAACAATTGAGGGACTAACTGACTAAAAATAAAAATCTGGAGATGCATTAGGATTTGCCTATAAAAAGGCAGTCTCCACTGCCTTATTGGAGAGAGCTAGATCCCCAAAATTCAAAATCCAAAATTCAAATCAATTTCTCACAAGTTTTAAAATCTAAAAAAATTCACAAAAATTCTGGAAAGCTAGAGATTCAAAATTTGAAATTCAAAAGTTCAAATTAGTTCTTAGAAGTCTAGAGAGCAACACTCTGAAAAACTCAAAAATTCAAACTCAAAGCTCCTGAAAATTACTGAAAATTCAAAAAAAGAAAAAGAAAAATACACTGTTTCATCCAGTTTCAAACAGCTGAAATTCACCTTTTAAGTTCTGAAATTAGTAGGAGGTTATCTGCTGGAGGTCACTTTGGTTCATCAAAATCTAGTCCTAAGCCAGTTGAAATTTAGTTGATTGAAGCTTATTTGGGAGGTGTACTGCATCCTGCTTTAATTTCCGGGGTTTTCAACTTGAATTTGATGGTTTGGTGCTGTAAATTGAACCAGTGCTGTGTTGCTGCTGGTTTTAACTGCTGATTATTGCTTGCTGCTGCTGATTTCTTCTTCTTCTTATTTTGTTTCAATTCCAGTATTATTTCAACCTCACATGACATGTAAGATTGAGTCAAAGTTGATCAATATTGGAAGAGATGATGAAATACAATATATTCTCATGAATACCAGTACTCTAGTTTAGTTTAAACTCATATTATAGCTGTGTTTACATGAACATTACATGATTTGTGCTAATTGGACTGTATGGACTATTTTCAGACTTGTATGGGTATTATACTAGTTGTAGCCTAGTTAATTTTAGTTCGGCTGTTATATTAACTTGAGGTTTGAGCTTAGATTAAGGTGTTGTTTGGACTGTACGAATTGTATTTCAGACTTATATGAGTATAATGTTAGCTATAGTGCGGTCCATTTTAGTCTAGCTATTCTGTTGGTTTGAGGCTTCAGCTAGATTAAAGTGTTGGATAGGAATAAAGTTCAAAATGAGCATGTGAAATAGATAGATCCTGTAATTTTGAATGTTAACCTTAAGCTTGAGTTTCAGCAGGAGTATTAAGTCTAAGTCTAACGAATATGTAAACGATTCTATACTTCAATCCTAATTCCAGCATTTTGATTTTGAAATCAAAAGAATAACACTTCAGTGTAATCAATTTTCCGTATTTGAGGTTTCAATATAAGTGTCAATCACTTTAGTTTAATCGTCGAATTTTCTAAATGTTTGTAGCAATTCATTAGCTTAGAAATAATTGGAATGTAAAAGTTGGAATTACGTTAGCAGCTGCTGATTCAACTGGATCCAAAATTTTCCTTTGTTGCTGAATTGATGAGTTCCATTGTGAAAGAAATTGGTAGTTTTAAAAGCCCAATTTTCCCTTTTGTTACCTAAATTAATAAGCTCAATTTTGAAATACAGTGTTGAAAGCCTACTAAGGTCCAGCATTTGGTTTGGGCTTGCTGATAGGCCCAGACGTGATAGCCTAGTCCAATTGATTTGGACCGTGGTTTTGCTGGTGATCCAATGTCGAATTCTAAGATGCCTGGATTTATTTTAGGGCCAATTTCAAGGCCCAAGATGTTGAAAGCCTTGATTGAGTCTATAGATTTAAATTTAAATATAAGCTTTGGGCCTTTCAATTTAGGTGGCAGATTTGAACTAAGGGATTTTCAGCAATGGAAATTTTCCTTGTTTAAATTTGGACCTGATCTTGAGGCCCGAACCTTTTTCGAACATTTTAAATAATGATTAATTCATAATGTTAATTAATTAGGCCTTTAGAGACAATCACTAATAGAGAATAATAATCCATTTTAGGATGGCCTTTAAAATAAATTGAGGTGTGCCGCGCCAAACAAAAATTCAAAAATTGCGTGGCCCTCTTGAATTACGTCTTTAAAATCCTTAGAAATCGGGACGTGCCATTTAGCGAATTTTCATGGCCTCCCGCAAAATTAATAACACGTTAGCCACTTTAGGCGCGTCCTTTAATAATTTTACCTTCCTAAATTCGGGTGTGCATTTCATGTGACCTAAATCCACATCCCAAAACGTTGAATAAAATGTGTCGAGGATCCGGGTGCATTTCATGTGACGTGATCCAAAAACATATTTTAAACAACGTTCAGTTTCCTAAGAATTTTAACTGAAAGCGGTTAAACAATTCTAAAATTGCACTATAGGTTTGAACATGTATAAAAAATCAGATTTCAGCTATTTATAATAATTTAAGCGACCGTGCTAGAACCACGGGATCCGGGGGTGCCTAACACCTTCCCTCGGGTCAACAGAATTCCTTATTCAGAATTTCTGGTTCGCAGACTCCAATTGGGAAGTCGACAATTTTCCTCGATTTGGGATTTAAGTTAAATCGATGACTTGGGGCACCAAAAGCCAATCCTATCCCAAGTGGCGACTCTAAAAATAAATAAATAATCCCATTTCGAATAATGTCACTTTAAATGGAAAAACTCCCTTATACATTATCCTTCGGGGTAGGTGTGTAAAAAAAGGAGGTGTGACAGGGGCGGGCTGGATGAAATGGAGGCTTGCATCTGGAGTCTTGTGTGACAAGAAAGTGCTACCGATACTCAAAGGTAAGTTTTATAGAGTTGTGGTTAGACCGGCCATGTTGTATGGGGCATAGTGTTGGCCGGTTAAGAACTCCCATATCCAGAGGATGAAGGTAGCAGAGATGCGGATGCTGAGGTGGATGTGCGGGCACACTAGGATAGACAAGATTAGGAATGAAGATATTCGGAAGAAGGTGGGCGTGGCTCCTGTGGATGACAAGATGCGGGAAGTGAGGCTCAGATGGTTCGGGCACGTGCAGAGGAGAAGCCTTGATGCCCCGGTAAGGAGGTGCGAGCGGTTGGCCGTGGTGGGTACGAGAAGAGGTAGAGGGAGGCCTAAGAAGTATTGGGGAGAGGTGATCACGCAGGACATGGTACGACTGCAGATTTCCGAGGACATGGCCCTTGATCGGAAGGTCTGAAGGTCAAGCATTAGGGTTGTAGGTTAGGGGATAGTAGAGCTTTCCTTACTTCATACCGGGGGTAAGGCGGGGTTGGATTAGGGTTGATCTTAGATGGCTTGTAGTTTATGTTGAATCCACACTATCCTTGTTGTTTATCTTAGCCCCGGACCTTAGGTTTTGGTTACTGTTATTGCATGACATTCATCTTTTGGTTGTTATGCTTCTGTTACTATTACGGTTTCTACTGGAGTTACTAATGAATGGTCTTTTCTTGTTTTTTATTTCCGTCTTTCTGAGCCGAGGGTCTATAGGAAACAACCTCTCTGCCCTATCGGGGTAGGGGTAAGGTCTGCGTACACATTACCCTCCCCAGACCCCACTTTGTGGGATTTTACTGGGTAGTAGTAGTAGTTGTTGTTGTTGTTGTAATATATATTTAGATAATTAATTAAAATTGAAAGTGATTTAATTATAAATTATTTGTATGTGTGTTAATTTAGAATAAAGTATTATAGTAACATCTTCTTTATAGTGTTAACAACTTTAAGGATATTTCAGTCATTTTAATAGAAAAAGTGCTTACTAGCATTTGTTTACCAAACAGTCCAACAACTTTTTTTCAGCTTCAGCACTTTTATCCAAACATGTAATTGCTTATTTATAAAACAAGCTCCAGCACTTAAAAAGTGCTTTTAAGCACTAAAAGCCAAGCCAATCCAAACGGGCTCAAAGTCATTCACTAAACTTTGTCGTAGAAGTTTGAGACAATCTATAACTAGACACACTATTTGGAGTTATTTATCAGCTATAACTCAATTAAACTAGAAACAGAGTGACGCTGACTGGTGAGTGTTACATAAAAGTTTACTCTTGCATCTTTTAAGGTAGCTTTGGAATTTTATATTTTAAATAAATTATTACCGTAAGAAAGGTGTATATTGGGATAACGCTTTTTTTGAGTAAAATGTTTGTGATTATCCACGTGGGACACACTGAAACCGTACCGAATTGCTCAACCAATTGAAGACAAGGATTATTTTATTAGTTATATATTATTATTTTCGCCTTACCTGTTCTCACCCAACCTGGTACCTTTTTCTTTCCATTTCTGTATTTTCTCGTTCTAATCCAATTTCTTTACGCTAATAATACCCTAATTTGATGGGTGTTCTATCATGATATATATATATATTTAGTAATATCAGACATATATATTTGTTCATGGACATGGTCATAAAGATCTCTTAAGTGTTTCGATCTATTCTTCTTGTCGTGTTTGTTGCTTCAGGCTTTGCACGTGACAACCAAAAAATGAATAGGTGCGGAGACATCTCTGCCTTTGATGGAGTTGTTTGCCCTAAGCCTCGCCGGCGTGGGTTCTTCAATTTTTCCTATGTTCCCGCCGACGAACCCAGCAGAGGAACTGAGCTTCTGGATATAATTCTCACCAAGGTAACTTCTGGATGATTCCATTTACTCAATTCTAGTGGTAATTTTAAAAAATTGTTTCTTTTGTTACTAATACTAGATTTATATATGCAAGTGAGCTAGTTTTTAATGTTTTATTCGATAACTCCTGCTGGCAAATTTTGATTTTTCTTCTATAAACAGGGGAGCTATGATGTGGAGAATACCAATTTTGAGCTAGCTTCATCTCCGCCATTCGTTTTTGGGTCTCCGCCCACCAGGGCTTCAAATCCCCTGATTCAGGATGCTCAATTCAGCAACAATAACAACAATTTTGTTCCTATACTAGCAATTCCAGAAGGAGCAGCTGCACCTTCACCACCATCCTCCTTTACCTCCACCTCCACTCGTGGCCGCGTTCTGGTGAAGTACGGGAACAAGCAAGCTGCTGTGAGGATTGAAGGCTTCAATTGCTGCAGCAGCATCTCTGCTGTTGCTTAGGTAAATTCTGTCGCAGAGATGATGAGAAAACAACCACAACAAAGCAAACGACGTAAAAATGTGAGATTTTTGGGGAAAGGTGAAAAACCAAACCAATTTCGTTTTGGCCTTGTATATATAGAGTGAAAGAAAATGAGTTATATTTTCCAGTCATTCAAATCCTGTTTGTGAATATGTTTATTAGGTGATGAATGAGTGTTCATTTGATACCGGAAAAATAAGTAGTAAATTGAGTAACCCAAAGAGGAGAGATAGGCCAATTGATTGTCCTCTTTCCTTTGGGATTTATTAGGGTTCTTTTTTAGAATTAGGCCAAGTTATGTGTTGGGAATGTAATGTAGTGTGAGAGTCTCAAAGGAGAGACTTAATCTTTGTGACTTAAAAAGTTTGTCACTCTATCCTAATTGTAATCCGAAGGAGAGCAGAAGATAGTCTTGTTAGACAAATTTTATTCATATTGTGTTTATACTACGGCTAGTGGTAATTTCTTTTTCAGTAGTGCTACTGATTTCTTTATACTTCTGCTGTATGATAGTAGCTAGGAAGCACGTGCAATGAGCTTCTTTTTTCAAGCTTTGATATCAACAATGTAATTGTAGTATTGTTTTACATATAGCTTTATGGAAAGTCCATTTAATGGCGTTATTATCGCCATTACTATGTGATTCTGCTGAGGATTCTGAAATTATCTAATAGTAGCTAACAATGAACGTGAGTTGTGGCTTTCCCAGGTCGGTGTTCTTCTTTATTTAGCTCAGATAGCATTTATTTGTATAAATTTGATGTCTTCTGAATAAAAATGCTGTTTCTTTGAGGAATTAGTGCAAAATCAGTTTCAATTGAACCCATTTTCATGCAAATAAGATTAGAAAACAAAATTATGTAGTCTTTGAATAGGACTGGAAATGGATATCTCTTTATGTTCATTTTCAGCAGTTATGTAAACCATGCTGCCTCTTTCTTTTAGTAAAATAAATCAAAATAACAACACTTAATACTGGAAACTTTTGATAATGGATCCTCCCAAAAATTTATACTCCCTCCGATTCACAATAAGTGACCAATTTGCTTTTTCATTTTGGTTAAAAATAAGTGTCCAGTTATGTAATCAAGAAAGAATTCAATTTGTTTTTACAAAATAACCCCTATGTACATATCCCTAAAAAGTTTTTTTACTCCTCACATTAAATGTTTAATTAGGGGTAGTTTAATCATAGTAGGTATTTTTGTATAGAATTTAATATTTTCTTAATGGGCGTGCTAAAAGCAAATTGATCACTAATTGTGAACCGGAGGGAGTAATACGTAAGCAGGTGCAAAGAGACCAATGGAGGGCTTGACTAAAGCAACGGAATTTCAAATTCTTTCCATGAGAAGTAAGCAAATAACCAGGAAGCTTTATAGGTTTCTTCCTCGTTCTTTCCCTGATTGCATCATTAGATAAATTAGTTAATAGTTGTGGAGGAGAGATACCCGTTTAAATTAAATGCAGAATGTGTTTAAACAGCTAAAGCTTGCTGAACAGGCAACCTTGTAAATATAAATGATTTTACATCCTGTAACTTAAAACTTCTCAAGGATTTTATATTTCATTATTCCCCTCTACTTTTTGCCCCCATCTATCGAGTTTTTTATTCTAGCTAATAGTTTTTTTGGGGTTAAAATTGTCCAAATATTGTCTGCTAGATTAGTTACTGATAATTAAGTGAATTGAGCTGTGTACTTGGTGTTCTCTGTAAGATTTTACACTATGCAGCTTAAAGATCGGTACTCAGATTTCCTAAGATAAAGCATCATGCCAACACGACCCAATATCTTGGTTCTATTAGAGGCATTGTTTGGTATATTAGAGTTTCTAAGACATCTATTGTGGATCCGGCTGATATCAAAGAAGCCATGGGTGCTGAAATTGCGCAGTCACATTGTGGGCACTTTCATGTGCTACCTGCTGTTGATGAACTTGCAGGCTTTCAGAATTTCAGGTCCATAGTTTATAAAGCTGAATTATTATGGCATGCTGGGCCATTATTTACATATGATACGATAAACTTCTACAATCTGGAGCTGAGCAATACTAATGTAAGGATCTTCTGTTTCTCCTATTACAGTTGATTGTTTAAATTTATGCATTTTGATTACATGCATAGTGTATATAGTGTTTTTGACAAACCAGGAGAATGACCCCCTTCCTTTCTCGGTAACATTAGTTTCGTTATTATTGGCTCTTAATTTTTAAGCCTAGTTGCTTCCGCTGAAAAAAAGAGTACTATTTTAGCCTGTAGGAAGCTTTAATGAGTCAAAACTTTTAGAAAAGAAAATCCTCCAGAATTTAAGGCTTCTGAAACTAGACCTGCTGTGAAGAAACTTACATAAGCAAAACTGATACTTGGAAAGGCCGGAGACTCGGCATCTTTTTTGTCCCATTTCTTTGGGCACCATTTCACATCTATTAATATGATTGACAACTAAATTTGTGTTTGTTCATGTCATATTCTGATTCATAAGTAACATCTTCTAGCTATCATTAACATGTGGAAATGTTATAACTGTCTCATATTTATGTGTTAGTTGATAGAGGATGAAACTTTTTGTTTATATACTTTTGGGCAGTAAAACTCCCTCCCCCTTCCTCATCGAGGCCAAGTTCATTTTCTTCGGTTAAGCACTTAGAAGTATTTTACTGTAGATGATTGAATTCACTGTTTGCTCTGGTACAACGTAAAATTTTGTCGAATCACCTTTGTTAAAACTTTAAACATTTAGTGAGGAGACACTTTTATTTATTTATTTATTTATTTTGTGGCTGCAGCAATATGTTTCCACTGGGTTGTTGTTGTGGCTGCAGCAATATGTCTAGATATCTTGTGCTGGGTTTTAACCGTCATAAAGAGCCAATTAACACTAAATAAGCTGTGCAATCTGCAAACGGACACCATCAAGTTGAGGATTGATAACATTGCCAAGGTGGTGCTGGCCTATAAATAGCTGTTTTTTAAGTCATAAGCAATGAATGAATCAATTCTTTTGTGGATATTTTGATCTGTTGTACATCATGTGCAGATGGGTGATCACACAACTTATGACTTCATTGAGAAGAAAGGGGTAGTTTTTGTACTGGATGATTAGAAAAATCGCACCAAGCAAAGCACTTCTTTTTTCTTTAAAGCCGAAAAATCTCCAAGGGCCAGTGGCACACGGTTCGAAACTCGGCGGATAATGGGTCCACCCCTCTACCCTTCTCTACTTAATACAAGGTTTTTTCTGTGGTAGAGTTCGAGTTGCTCCAAGCAAAGCATTTCAAGTTCACTATGAAAGATCAGCTGGGGGATAGTCATGCTGTTTAGAGCACTACCATATGTAATTACATGTACCGTAAGCAAAGTCTGTCTAGACTAGCACTGCCGTTTAGTTTTTGCTTGTGCTGTTAGCAACTGTTAATAGCAGCATCGTTTACCTTTCTTCTGGCTACAACACTGTACACACATTGATTTTTTAAATTCAGCTCAAGTCAAACTCTTAATTAGTTTTCCTACCCATATCTAATTGTGATTTTGTAGGGAGATTTAAAATAGCCGGATTTACAAGTGGTCATTCAAAAATAGTCACAGTTTCAAAAGTAATTGAAATTTAGCCACTTTTCATGTAAAAATAAATCTGAATGAAAATATTGTTCAAAATCCGGAAAATACTCCAGCATAATATACTGGAATTCCAGTATAATATATTGGAACTCCAATACAATATAGGGAGAATTACATCGCTTGTCACTTGACCCAACAACCCATCAGAAAATGGCCCATGTTTGAAGCCCTTACTCAGTATAGCCCAGGTTGTACATAATCTGAAAATTAATTTTCACTAGTTAGCCAACCCTTTATTTCTTCGTCCCCCTTTTTTCTTCGTTCTTCTTCTCCTTCCCATGTTAGCCTTTGCACCACAAAATTTCTCTACTATTGTTATTCTCCTTCAATTCTTTTCCGGATATCAATGGTTAACTAAGGATTTGAAAAATAAAAGTCACCATTACAAGTGGTTCGAAGATTCGATTTCAGAAATTGAGTTCTCCGATTTGTTAGTTGTTTGGAATGGGTGTTGTCTCAATTGATTGGAATCATCAAGATGTGTTCAAAACTTAAATTTCAAGTGATTTGGAGTAGATTTAGGCTATATGTTAGTTAAATTTCAGAAATTGAGTTTTCCAATTTGTTAGTTGTTTGGAATGGGTGTTGTCTCAATTGATTGGAATCGTCAAAATGAGTTCAAAACTTAAATTTCAAGTGATTTGGAGTAGCTTTAGGCTATATTTGAGTTAAATTTCAGAAGATGCCCAAGGAAGAAGAAGAACACGTGAAACTCTATTGAAAGGATTCATTTGTATAATAATGTATAATATTGTATAAATAGTATATAATAGTGTATAAACACAACTTATACACTATTATTATCCAAGGTTGATACATTATTTACAGGTATTTGGTGAATTTCTCGCATTTTCTTCTTCTTCTCATTCTTCTTATACACCTATATACATAGTGTATCAAAAATATTTTCACTCTGTGATTATACATCTTTATACACTTTTATTCAACTATATAAATACTGCACCTCTTTGTATAAAAGTGTATAACATTGTATAAAAGTGTATAAGCATCGCTGACTAAATTTTTGTACGATTTTCACTTGCAATTCTTGTATAAAACTAGTCCAAATCTCCAGCAAACAACTTCAAACTTTGTATACAACCTACTTAGACTATTTCTAGTAAGTTCAAACAATACTCACTCCAAATTTCTCACAAAATCATAATCGAAATTTAACAAGATTAGCATTAAAGGAGGTGAGATTTTAGGTTTCTCGCGTCCGTTTTTGCGTTTTGCAGTTGTGAAGGTATGTATAAACCTGAAAATATACAAAATTTTGAAAAAAAAAACAGAGAAGTATTGGTTATGGAAGAAGGCACAAATGAGTGTTGACTGAATGGGGAACTAATTTTTCTTTTTAGTTTTGTTTGCATATGATTCTTTTTCATTAATTAAATTAAATATTTATGGGTGAAAAATGAGGAGAGAGCTACAATAGGGGTAGGTAGGAATAAATGAGGTTGTTATAATTAGAGGGAATGAGAAAAGAAAAGATCTTATTGATATTTGGCTACACATTTGCAAACTTGTAACTGGGCTAAAATAGTGCAAGGTCAACTTATGAAGTGCATTATTCTGTAATTTTGTCTACAATATACTGGAGTTCCAGCATAAGTATACTGGAGTTCCAGCATAATATATTGGAGTTCCAGTATAATATACCGGTCCAGCATAATATGCTGGAAATCATACACATGTGCTCCAATCTCCAGTATATTATGCTGAAACTTTCCGCGTGTTGGAGTTCCAGAATAATATGCTGTAAGGTCATACACAGGTACACCAATCTCCAGTATATTATGCTGGAACTTTCCGTGTTGCAACAAAATAGTGGTTATTTTTCAATAACTTTTCAAACGCTGGCTATTTTTGAATGACCTGTCTGAAAATTGACTAGCCCGTGCTATTTTTACGATTTTTTACTTTTATAGATTCTTTTCTCAAACTCAAAATCGAACAAAACCGATTCTATTTACCAATAAGTTGAACCGAAAAGAGCAAAAATCTCACTTTGTCATGTTTTTCGGTTTAAACCAAATATGCTCATCCCTTCGTATAGGGTTCTGTTTGAGTTTAATATACATTATTATTTTATTCTATTTGTGTCTCATTTTTTCATTTTCACGTCAGAATGTCTTAACGTGAGTGGAATGACTTCAGTACACAAAATTTAGATTTGGATTTAACTGATTTAATAAAATAGAGTTAATCTTAGCCAATATTAATGTCCAAAAAATATGTTAACTGATTTTGTAATAAGTTGATACGTATATTATTCGAATGACAATAAATGTTTATGAGACTAACAATATTCAATGACCCAAAAAGAAGGAGGATAGCATTAAATAAGAATAAATAGCAATGGATGACATTTAAGTAAATAAGAACGTGTGAATCACCCGAAAATGAGTGAGATCCGCGGGTATTTCTTCCGACAATGGTGAATGATTGATGAGCTTTCGAATGTTCAGATTGTTCTTGGATTGAGAGGAAAAGTGAGGCAAGAATCTTAGGAAAAAGGTATTTATTGTATGTTTGCAATAAAGCCACATTCTATATAAAAAGTCAAGTGTTTTCTTGCAAGCGAATATCTTATGTCCCTATCCTTGTGCCTCTTTTTATTTATAAGGAACATATACCTAAAACTCCCTAATAGTACAAGTACAGAAAATATTCTCTTTTAGGCCTCATTTGTTTGCACTTAATGGAGGCCTGAATCTTAATCATTCAGATCTCAGACATCAAGTGCGTTTGCTTTTAAAGTCCGAATCTTAATTATTCAGATCTTAATCATTAAGTGTATTTATTTTTTTTACTTCACAACCACTTAATGGGTCTGAATAGGTGTGTATGATTAAGATCTATAACAGAGACTTAATTTCATTAAGATGCTATCACATATTCCTTATTAACTGCCGCCACCGCCTACCATTATCAACAACCACCAAGCCTATATTCAACCTCCACCACCACCACTATACTCAACCACCACCACCTCCTCCACCACCACCACCACCACGCCACCATCATCCTCAATCATAGCCGCTACCATTATCGACCATCACCATCCACCATCGCCACGACTCCGACCACCATCATTCTCACCCACAGTCAATACTTATCCACCTCAACTACCACAACCTACCACCCCATCACCATTAACAACCACAGCCGACACCGCCCATCATTATAACCTACCACTACCTTCCTCAATCGCAAACCACCACCCGCTATTATTAACTATCACCATGCACCATCGCCACCACTACCAATCACTACTAGCTACTATCATGAACCACTATCATCAACCAAAACTACCACCAACCACCGCGTCTAGTCCGCATTCACCCGTTAGCCATCACCACCAACAACTATCATAATTTAAAAAATTATATATTTTATTGATAGAATATTAGATTAGTATTTCATTTGAATTTTATGTTTATTATTTTTCAAATAAAGATAAATTGTATGCATTCAGATGTTAAAAATCAAACAGTCTTAATTTTAAGTATTCAGATCTTAATACACATCTTAATATATCCAGATGTGTATTCAGATTCAGATGTCTTAATCTTAATACACACCTTGATATTCAGATGTGTATTCAGATTCAGACGTCTTAATATTAAAAAAAACAAATGAGACCTTAATGTCTTATCCTAAAACTAGCCGTATTTACTCTGCCTACGATGAGTGCTCGACCTCGACCCTGATCTTCGCTGACTCCTCGACCTTGATCTTCAATAACTTCATCGGCTCTGTTTTTCACCTTTTAAAAGACCACTTCGACCTTGGGTAGACCTTTATCTAAGTCACACTTGGTGACATGTGGCAGCCCATGAGGGCCTTCTTAATGCTAATACGGTTTAATCATATCAAAGGTAATTCTTGGCCCATACATCACCCCCTTTAATTATAAACCAGATTAAATGAAATCATGGAGTTATTTCATGTAGTTTATGTTATAAACTGTATTTGTAAAATAATTCTGGAGAATATAAAAATAACGTATAAGCAAATATGAAGAATAGAAAAAAATTTAATCCGAGCCCGCTGAATTGACAGTGTTTCCTTAAGGAATTTAATCCCCTCCTAGTACCCAAGGTTGTGGATTATTTCCTCCTAGGATAGTAATGAATTACACAATGGTGTAGCAGTACTCCAAACCCTAGTGTTTCAGCGAACACAAAGATTAGTAGCAAATCACACTTACTGTTGCTTTCTTAGTAGTTAAAACAATGCAGAAGAAATGAGGAGAATTCAGAAATTCGTATAGAAAATCTGAGAGAATGGACTGCAATTTATAGCCCCAACCTGTTGAGTTCAAATGAAGAGTTGTAACTCTTCAGAGGTCAGTTACGTAAAATGGCCATAACGTAAATGGCCATTTACGCAAATCAAAACGGGTAGAGGAAACGTTTTCCGTTACGAAAACGGACGGGCAGAGTCAATAAAACAGATAATTTGGATTATTAATTTTTCGTTACAAACACGAATAATATTACGTTAATATTTACTATTAACAAATAAATTTGGTCCAAAAAATTAATCAATCAATCGATCATTTGACCAAATCCGAATCAGAAGCTGAAGCCGAGCCGAGCGAGCGACGATGACGACGGCGCGAGGCTTGACTTCTTCTTAACTCTTTAAGAGATACAAGAAGAGAAATCGTATATATACCCATCAAAAACCTTTTCCTCTTCCAATATGGGACAATATCCTATTGTCAAGGAAAACTTAAAAATTTCATTTTCCGTCCATTTCCCATTCACCCTCTTTTAAGCCTATTTTAGCTTAAAACCTCAACAATCCCCCACATGAATGGGGAATGACTATATCACGGAAATATGCATGAAAACCTATGTGATTCGCA